AACTCGGTAGAAAAATAGACATTAAAATTATAATAGAAATATCTATCCTAAAATGTAGAATTCACAAATTATATATGAACAAGAAAAAATTCAACAATCTACATGGAAAGAACGGTTTTGTGCTAAAATATTTAAAAATTTAACTTAATAATATATAAATGCAGATTTGAAAATAATTATTTAGATTTTCAAATTATGTAGGATGCTTGTTGCTAGAATATTAAAATTATTTGCAGCATTGTTCATGATATTTGAGATTTCTACGTAATTATTTTGATGATCCAACAAAATTAATTTCTCTAGATCTATATTTGTATAATTTAAACTACATTTTTAGATATTTTAGTAAAATCGTTTTTTCCATGTTTTTATCGAATAAATGATAATTATGACAATAAGCTTAGAAATAATATGCGCAAATTATTCATTAAATAAAATGTAATTTAATTCTCCGGAACTGATAACAGTAGGTCTATTAGATCCAATTCATTATAAATGTCTTTGACATTTAAAAATGTCAACGATTCAATTTTTTTTATATTACATCTGCTAATTTTTATTCTTATTAAAGTACACTGTATTCATTCTTTTTTATACGTTATGTCATTTTGGTTTCTTGAAATCAATTAGTATCATTTAATTAATATAAATTAAATAGGTCTTATATACTCAGCGTTAGTAGCTGTATCATTGGTTTTGATGTCAGTTCCGGAAGATTAATTTACAGAAATATCGAATTGGAAAATCTGTGAAGATTTTCTCGTCTAAACTAAGTAATAATTTCCATTGAGTCATACGTGTCAGAAATATATACACGTGCACCTTCTCTATTTTTAATCTCTTAGACGCGGATAAGTGGCATAAAAAGTCGTGACATTCCCACGTTCCTCGCCGGTTAGATTTCGATAAGCCCCCTGTTTGCTCGACCGAAAGAATAGTCCGTTCGCGGTTTTCGGGCCATTAAAAGGGGAAAGTAAAGGGCTCGACAAATATAATATTTGAGGTTCGTTGTTACTGCGTGTGACCTAGTCTGCGTACTATTTCATTTCGCTATGTGTGTATCGTTGCGAATATCGCTTGAAAAAACGAGAAAGATAAACATGTAGACCTCGGTCGCATGGTCCTGCAAATTTAGTTGGATTTATCAAGCTTTTTAGTACAAATTTTTATATCTTTAAAAATTTAACTTCCTTGCAATTGAGAAATCCCGATTAGCCAAGAAAGTTGTGGTCAAATGAATATCCTAAACAAATTTATGAATTGAAATGATTCATGATCATAAAGCAGATACGTTATAAATTAAAATGAAACATGAAGTGAGATAGCACTAATATTTTTATGTAACGTAATAATATATTTTAGATAATATAATATATATTTAACATAAAATATTTAAATAATATATTTAAATAAAATAATATATTTAGGATATATTTCTAAAATTATGCTCATGTTATGAAACAATCTGTAATATAACTTTAAAAAATATCCGGCACAATTTCCGGGAAGTTAGGAGCGAGAGGGGAAATTAAATGAGACAGATTTTACTCTCTTGTTGCTTTATTTCTACAAATTAGCGTACATCGCACTTATAAGTTATGTGGTTTAGTGCTCGCCATTCAGTGTGCACAGCTACGCCGAGACGTTAACCTACGCTTCCTATCAATCCTCGTAAAAATGCGGTGAATAAATATCTAAGTACAAAAGCACGGCTGTGTCAGCGTAGTAACTAACAAGTGTTAATAATGTGTATAGTCTATGTCATCTACGCGTTTTAATATGGAGCTGTAAGTTCATTTACAATAGCTGCACGCTCGATATCAGGCCAGTTGTCAGTTCTCGATATATCCGGTCTTATATTTATATCCGCCGATCGATTCGATCGAGCTAAAATCGGAGATACCACTTACAATTAGATCTCATCGAAAGCGAGGGATGATTCACAACTGAATCACTAAAATCCATCGAACCTCCAATTCATAAAAATGCTCGATTAAAATTCAGCTTTTATTTCCGTTTTTACCGATGTAAATTAACTTAATCGTGATTCAATTTACTCTTCATTTTTTTTCTAATTCTCGGAATTAGAAAACTTTAAAGAGTTAATTCTGTCGATCGCGAAAATCTTTTATAGCCGCGACAGTCGAGACGATCGTCGCCGTACCTCGACCGCGTAAATTCTGGGTCCCGAAATACTCGGTCTGTTAAACGGAAAGCGCCAAGTGCACATTTGTTGCCACCCTCGATCGTATTTCAGCCGTTTATTTGAACGGGACGTGCGCGAGCGAGCCGATCGCCGGTTTATAGCGTCCGCGCGCGCGTCTCGCATATACATATATATATATATATATACACTATATACTATATTATTACATTTGGAACTCTCGCGCCGCTGGGCATCGTGTATATCGAGCGGCCGCTTGTTTGTTTGGCCTGAAATTCTGCGCTTTGGAATGGCCGGCTGTCATGGAATGATGTCATGGTGAGTATCGTGGCCGCGCCTCGTCCACGTAGTAAAGACTCTCAAGCCAGAGAATGGCCAATCCGCCATTTTCATACTTCGAGCAGGATACGTCGATCTGTTTCTCGGATTGCAAAACAACTATGCCGTTAATAATTTCTTGTTAACAATAATTATCAGCAAATCGTATGAAGTAGAATATCGACAACCATTATTGATTTGTCATATAGTTCGATTCTAACTTGAAGATCTCCTCTGAGGATATCAACATTTAATTTAGCAAAAGTGCAGCATGCATCAAATGCAGCGGTTTAATAAATTGTCAGGCTTACAAGGAGAGAACACAGTGGACTCTTGATGGATTTTGATCTCCTTCAGTATGATGAAAACTAACTCATTTCATTGGTTATTTCCCTGTAATATAATTACAGGGTCTTTCATACATTAAAAAATACTGTTTGCTAGGCCCATTTAATAAAACGCTCGAACATGGCATAATTGATTTTCAATGTAGATTCATCAAGTCGAAGGAGACCGAAATCCGTGAAGATCCACCTCTTCTTATTAAATAAACGTTGCAGTGAAAGAAAATTGTATATAAAAACGAAAAATTTATATTTAATAAATTAAATATTATATACTGAATCAAATTAATATCAAAATTAAAAACTGAATCGCAGAAAAATAGATAAAAAATCGTTGTATATTAAAAAGAATTGGAACTCAAGAAAACTGAAACGATTTGATTCTGCCAAGCTCTGGCTTGAGTATCTTTAATAGATACGTCTACAGTAAATTTTAGTGCAATTAACTCTGCACTCTACATATATCTTCCCTTCGTGTTTTTTCCATTGAAATTAGTTTTCCATTGAAATTATAATAAATTTACATAAAAGTTATATCATGCTCTTTACAACAGTTCGAAACGTGCTGTCCGAAACAAGCTATTTTAGCTTGTTTCAATTTATTTAAAGCATATTATTATATTTACAGGATATTACGCAAGCGTCATCCACGATAATTATCGCGATACCGAAATTGCGATAGAAGAGCGATAGAATCTAATTCGTGCGAGAATTCTTTCGCGAGAAGAACTTGAAAGGTTCAAAGTCACGATGTATATGTAGCATTTCCTTTTCTTCCCATCTATCTCTCTTCACAAATTCGCAATGTCGTCAAATGTCAATAACAACAGTGGCAGTTCCTTCTTGAGACAGGAAAGCCGATTTAAGAGCGATACAAATGGATATCCGAAATATCTGCGTTATAATAATCCTAATAACAAATTTTATCACTCGAAGCTCGCGTTTAGTCGCGCATCTCACGTACAATCAGAGAGAGAGAGAAAGAGAGAGAGAGAGAGAGAGACTCGCGCATATACTATTAATAAATCTCCGTAATTAATCGTTAATTACGTTATATTTGGCTATCCTTAAGGGTCTGTGTCGCCCAGAAATATCGCAGGGATTTAACACCGCGGAGATTTAATACCGCGGCGATTGATCCAATCACAATTTATTTATGTATTACAATCATTTGCTCATGTAATTATTTTCTACAATCATTTATACAAGCAACTAGGTCAATGTAACAAAATAGTCGACGTAATAAAATAGTCTTTATTTTACTTTCTTTACTTTACGCGACGCATTTCGTACATAATTTTTCAGCGCCGTTATCTACAGGATGTCCCAGATCTGTCAAAAAATACTTCATAGACAAATTCCTTGGCGGCGACTTTTCCTTAATAAGAAATATGATCGTATAGTTAAAATAAGATCATTTATGCGAATAAATTGCAGAAACTGCGAGGAATAAATCTTCGATTTTCAAATAATTTCAGAATAATGTCGATAGTTGTACAATTTCAACCTTCGAGATACATTTAAACTTCCGTCTGCAATCTTATTTACTCTGTTCTAAACTTTCTAAAAATGTGGAAAAATTCAGGATCACTTCCAAATACTTTTTTAAGGACACAGAAAAGATTTTTACTGAAATATCTAAAAATTTAGTTGAATACAGATCTGAAAATTTTTTGTTGCACCTCCAAAATAATTATATAGGACGCTCGATCTAATTGCCAGAATACATCAAATACGATAGAGAGCACCATTAGCGGTCAAAGTTAGATGTTTCGAATAATATAATATGATAATATAATATATTCTTTATTAAATCAATCTATTTTAGATATGATTACGCGCCGATAACTTTCGAACTTTCAACACTCTGAAATGCTAACAATCCCCCCTAAATTAAATTAGAAAAACTGTAAAGAACTTATTGCGAAAAATGCATTTTGGTTCTAGCCTGATTGTTAGAATATTAAAATTTTTTGTAACATTGTTCATGTTTGAGATTTCTACGTAATTATTTTAATGGTTCAAATTATTTTTAGATCTGTATCTAGCTAAATTTGTATATATTTCAACAAAATCATTTTTTCCATGAAGATATTTTAAAAGGGAGAATCGGACTCCGTCCTCCTTTATTAACTTTATTATTCAAAGAAATTTGAAAGTGAAGTTTTGCTTGTGCCAAAAAAGACCCAGATTATACACGGAAGGTTAAATAATGAAAATTTAGAACGATAACGTTGACCGGAGAGAATCACGTGAGATTTCGAAAATTTGTCCATCGAATATTTCGCGGCTGATCCGGGATGGTCTACGCGAATTCTTTTTCCGATCATTTGTACCTAGGTACGTAAAAATCGGACGATTCGACGATACCGCGGCGCGTCTTTCGGCACCGCGAAACGAAAAATATATCGGGCATGTTTACCTCGCTTTGGTCTACATATAATTCGGCCACGTCTCAATGCCAGACACGTAGCGATGTGCGTATTGCGCGTAGGGCGTGGACACGTGTGGATGGCCCATCTGCGTACTCGCGTGCGAATGGTGCGCGTTATGGGCGGATATGTACTGGACTGGCGGAAGGGGAGGCTGCAGCTCGTGGTACCTGACCATCTCCTGAGTCCTGTCCTCCCATGACGATACCTCCGCGATCGCCTGTTCTGAACAGTGACGCTTGATCGGTCTCTCGATCTCCTCCTCGTATCTGGAAGCGAAGCAAAATGTCCCGACATCTCATAAATCATACAGAAATAAAAACATGATAACAAAAGAATCGACAAGGTAATTTCAAGAAATCTACCGATTCATTTTACAACATCCCTCTTACTTTTGTTCGATGTTAATAAATGTTGTTTGCATCGAATGAAGAATGAAGAGAGGACATGTAAAATTATAAATAAAATAGTAAGTTTATGTAGCAATAAAAGATAGAAGTATAATCTCTCAAAAATTTTCATATAAATAACGCATGACCACGCATTGATCAACGAGCGTTTAACTTTTCGCGTCATATAAGATGATTTTTATAATTTAATCGTTTCTTCTACCAAAATTTAAGAAGCGCCTTCTCCCTTTTAGACTCACGCCGCCATATTTGTCTCGAATGTCCAGATTTTTACTTGATGGTCTCTATTTTAAGTGCAACTCGTTTTAAGTCGAAAATTTTAAAGTACTGCTGTTGACTCTACATTCTTCTTAGGATGCACCTCGATTTAAAGTCATTGTGAAAAAGCGTAATTATGGCGGTCTCTCTACCTGTTGAGTAACCATTGCGAGGCGGTGGTGACTTGCACGGGTGGGTACTGGTGTATTGGTGCAGTCTGGGGCGGTAAGTATTGGTCGAGCTCATTGCTCTCGACCTCGCACTCCTGGAAGTTCACCGGGAGATTCAGGCCTAGCCCGCCCAAAGTGCCGAGGCCATTTAACTGGTTCTCCTCGCCGGGGAGGCCATCTCCGACCTCGATATACCGAAGATCAACCGCCGGTTGTTGATGGGGGGACTCACTCGACGGCGTGCCGCTGATCAAATCCTGGTAATATACCGTGTTGTTCTGCGGAAGCTGATTGCTCTGCGAATCAAGCATCATTTCGCAGAACGTCAACGATTAGAACAATTAGCTGGGGATGCAAACAACTTGCGCACATGCGAAAGCTTTGAATAATTATATTTACGAGAAGTCGACCTCTTTGCGGTTCTGAACTCAATATAATACATTGTAGTAGTCTATCGCGTAATTATTCAAACGTTCGAGTCTGTACGCAATTTAATCGACAATTATATAATTTTTTTATATTAAGGAAAAATCGATTCTGAAATATTCAAATGAAACGCCCGATCAAAGCAGGTCTTAGCGCTAAATTTTAATAATACTTTTTTATATAAATTTTATAATTTTCAGTTCAAGCAAGCTGCTAATCATTTGTCAATTCTGAAATACGGTCCTAGACTAAAGCTAGAATATACACTCCAGCTATTACATATGTAATATCGCAGATTAAATTGTATCTTTGTAATTCTTATAATTTTATAATTTTTGCAATTTTATAAAACTTAATAATTTTATTAACTTTTATAATTTTTTAGTATTTTTATAAATTCTTTCAAATAATAAAAATTCTTTGATTTATATTAGATCGACCTAAGCTGATCAGTCAATTAGATGAAATTGAAGAAGAAATATTTGATTTTTGCTCTCATGTGCGAGAAATAGTTTTGGACCGTAAATTACTCTTTTCTCTATTAAATATTATATAATAATCACAAAATGAAAATTAAATAGCAGACAACTTATATACTCTGTAAAGTTAAATTACTATTATCATTAATGTTTATTGTTAATTTTGCAATAATCTTATCAACATAAATAATCTTAAAATAGCAGAAACATGCAAGTATCATTAATATAAGTATTAATTATCTAAATCACTTCTCATCAAATCGAAAATTCTCGTCACAAAACGATCACAAGGGACGTGTTGGATACCTGATTGATATAGTGCTGTCCCCTGGGCGTCGTAGGGGGTGTCGGCGGTGAAAGACCCTGACTGGGTGTCGTGGGTGGCGAAGAGCTTACGCCACTCTGCGGTGAATTGGGTCCTTGAACGCCTCTAGGACTCATGTCCTCCTGCTTCAACGACCTGGTAACGCTGAAAGTCACGTTGCTCTGACTCCTCGTGGGCGAACTCTCCCGGCCGGAGGACGGCCCGTTCTGCTTCCGACGTCGTGGTTGATACTTGTAATCGGGGTGCTCGCGTTTGTGGATAACACGCAGGCGGTCGGCCTCCTCGATGAAGGGTTTCTTGTCATTGTCGGACAGGAGACTATACACGATCAATCGTAAAAAATTTTAATAATTTTCGTACATATTACACGAGCTTTGCAGTATATATTGCCTATATATTGTTCTAATATTTGTGATATTTTTTATTTAATTAATATATTAATGCTTTGACACCTTCGCATGACTCTTATTTGTACTTGTTCTCTTGAGATATTTTATAATAATGGATTTTGGAAACTATGAAATTTTTCTTGAAAGAGTCTCGCACTAATTATATAGAAAATTAGGTTAAAAATACTATCCATTATTAAAATATAAAAAGAGAACAAGGGTAAAAAAAATCATACGCAGATGTCATGCAAAGTATTAATATAAATATTAATATATTAATTAAATAAAAATATTACAAAATAATACATTGAAAACGCTTAAAGCAATAAAAAAGCTTTATACGTTTTAGTTTACTTTTGAGTGCATCTGAGCACCTCAAAATTGGTTAGATACGCGTCAATAAATAAGTAATAATGAATAAATAATCATAAGCTTGTGTCCAACAACAATAACTGAACGATAATTAAAGAAACCTCAAATCAAATAAAATTTTTCCGAAAATATCACCTATCAGCATTATTATATGACTAGATAGAGAATAATCTATTATTGAATCTTGTGTGTATGATTCTTGTTAACTACATTATAAGCTACATAATATATAAGAATTAACTCATTTTATCATACGGAAAGGATATTTTTGTTGAAATATCTAAAAATTTAGATACAGATCTGAAAATAATTTTATTTGAACTAACAAAATATTTGTAGAACGCTCAAACCCCTCTTTTATCTTTTATTATTTGATTAACTTGTGATTAAGCTGACCCTGATGTTTAAGCTAATAATTCATCCATGACATCATCATAGATAAAGCCTATTGGATAAAACATCATAGATTAAACCTAACTATAAACATCAAATTAAGTTAATCAAAAAATGAAAAATCGGACTGGTTGCTAGAATGTTAAAACTTTGCAGCAACATTGCTCATCATACTTGAGTTTCCTATGTAATTATTTTGACGATCCAACAATATTCTTTTCAGATCTGTATCTACCTAATTTTTTAGCAAGATCATTCTTTCTATGCAGGACCTAATTTTTCATATAATTAGTGCAGGGTGCTTTTCAAATAATGTTGTAATTTTTAGATTTACATCACGTAGCAATTCCCGGACTTGGCCATGAAATCTGTCGTCGGCTCGACGTGATTCACGTCTCTCGCGTCGCGTGTATTATACACAAGCGAGCGACCGTCTCTCCTCACGCCATTCGTGGCCGAGCGTTTCTCGCTATCCGGCATCAGAAGAGGCTTGGAACGAGAGCGTTTCCATCGGCGTCTGATATATACTCTCGAAGAGACGAAATGGGGGGTCTGGTTAGTGTTTCTGGACGCGTTAAGACGCTCGAAGGCGCGCACAACTTAGTCCGCCTCGCAGAGCGACTCGACGGGTGCGGGGCTCGGTGCACAGTTACGGTCCTTAAATGCTCTTTGTGTTTATATTCCCACTGGGCTCATAAACCCCGCAGCCGATAAGGTTTTCCGGTGTAATAGAGAACGTCCGAGAGATTCCGGGATTTCCGTCGTGCTACGCCAACCGACGACTTGTGTCACCTTACACCCCTGTATCAGACTAGAGATTGAAATTGAATTTAACCAATCGAAAGAAAGAAAACCGATATCAAGTTTAGTAAATTTTGCTTTGATCGATCAAATTCAATCTCAATCCGATATAGACGATTGAGAAATTCACATTTTTTTACCCTTTAAACGTTCCATATAACACAGATCTTCAAATGACAATTTTCCTAAAAACGTCCAGAAGATGACTCTATCATCTTGAAGACGTTCCCAGAATATCTCTCGGATAAAGTGTACTGTGTGAGGTCCTGTCATTGTATTAATAATAAACTCATCCCTGCAATATGCAGGATGATCTCAGATTCGCCGCGCTTTCTCTCAAGATATCTCCGATTCAGGTCGTCAGCGTCCGCTTCTTCTGAGTTTGATATCTCTTTCACACATTGGAATTGCTAATATGTTTCTTTAAGCATCGTAAGGCTAGGTTCACAACCTTGCTTTAAGAGGCCGCAAGCCGTAAGCTTTAAGTTGTAAATGACGATCGGCCACGCAGAACTTATGCTTTTAGGTCGTAAGAATTGAGTTTTGTTCAATTCGCTTAAATCTAACGGTTAAAGCCTAAAGACTGCGCAGTTTAAAGACAGAAATTATTGTCACTTGTTAATCTCTTTCGACTTATGACTTAAGGCTTCTTAAAGCAAGGTTGTGGACCTAGCCTCAATAATATGCGTTGCTCAAAGTGCAAAATAAAGTGGAAGAGAATGTCATGAGAACCGTTTGAGGAAGCTGGTAATACATCATCTGGAGTATTCGCAAGCTCGGGATTTAAATCCCACGACGGGAGCTAAGCTCTCGAGCGGGTTGACACACGTTGAAGGCACATATCTCAAGCTTAACCGGTGGTGTTCTGTCACCGACAAGAAGGAGGGAAAAAGAAGAGCTGTAGATGGAGAGAGATGAAGAGAGAAAATCCATCTGGTCAATGGACTTGCCACGAGCTTTTTTTGGCCAATGGGTGCAGACGATAGCGAGCGACGTCGCAGCCTCTCTTTTTCTTCGCCAGATGCAACGCGGGATCAGCCAATTTAGATCTGCCTCTCGCCAGTATCTCTACGAGGTTATTTGTACATACGTATTAAATGTTATAAAGGAGAGGGAAGAAGAAGAGAGAAATTCACACGGCCGAAGGTCGCATGATACTCAATCTCGATGAATCCTCTCATCGTGGGATTCTAATTGAATTATCACGCTTGTCATCCCGAGTAACCGTCGACAAATCGCGAAATTGTCCGACTTTCTCGAAGCGTTCCTTGAAACACTCTTCTAAACAGACTATAATCGCTTGATAGGATGCATAATGTGACTAGACGTCCCGATTTCGGCGGGACAGTCCTGCTTTTGAAGTGCTTGTCCCGTCGTTCTGCCAAATATGTCAAACGTTCCGATTTTAACAAACAGATTCCGCTGAAAAATATTTTATAAATTTTAAAATCATATACGCAAAAAAATATTTTGCTGCTCCAGCTAGAATTATAACTGTTTTTTATATCTGATAGAAAATTATGTCTCATACGCGTAGAATTTATATAGTACAAATCTAAATTCTATTTCTGTCATCTATATGATTAGATACAATACATATCCAATATCGCAGTATTTGTTAGAAATTTATCTATTCCAGCTATTTTTCGTACTTAGATAAGTTTCGCTGTAACTGCAAGATCACTTTTTTAAGTGATATAGAATATGTATTATTGCTTCCAGTGTAGATAGCGGAAAGCTCAATTTTGAATTTTAAAAACTTGTATTTTAAAAACAATATTAACAAAAATTAATTTTAATTTCCGTTGCCAAGAATTTCTTCTTATAAAATTCATCTATAAAATTCATCTATAGAATTCATCTTCCTTGTTAAAACAGATAATTTCAAATGATAAAAAAAATAATTGTACTATTTTTTTAAAATAAATCGTTATTATTGTATTTATCTTTATATTCATACATCTTCCTGAAAAATCTGATCATATTAAGAATGCAAAATTTCAACTAATAATAGTTTCATGAAAAGCGGAGTTTCATAAAAAGCAACTTGATTTTCGCGAACGTAGAACCTATTTCGAACGGCGATACAATTCTAAACTCTCAGTCATGACCACAAAGGCAATTTGCGCTTAGAAACCGATAGTGGCTACTGTGAAAAAATAAAAGTTATCGCATTCGAAGGAAGTCCGATGTGTGAAGGAATCGTTCCTTCCGGGAGATAAGACGGATTTACCTGTTCTCGTCACGCGTTATTTGCTTGCGGGCCTGGAGATGCGAAGGGGCAGGTTCGGAAAAATTCACCTGACGGACACAAGGCGCCTATTGTGGTCCCCGGGGGCCTCTTTATCTCCGACAGGAACCGGCCGGCAGCTGCGAGCACGCGCCAAGGATGAACCGGGGATATCTGTTTTCCTTTTGTCGACAAACACATCGCGTTTGGAGTATCCGAATGGCAATACGTTTCGAGACAACAAGAGAGAGAAAGAAGGAGAACGACAGAATGTGAGAAAAAGATTTATTTTCAGACACTGGCACCTGGCCCTCTTATCAGGATTGACGTGAGACAAGTCGGCGTCGAAGTCCGACAGGATTCGACACGTCGATTGACGTAGTAGATTAAAATATTTGTGCTAAAGGGGACTTGTCATTTTATATCGCAGCTTTACATTTTCGTTGTGTAAATTGTAAAATTTTACGAAAAAAACGAAGAATTGTTACAGAGGATAGTTACAAAGATTAACATCAGAAGTACTGAGTGATTATTATTGACTTTCTATTTTTTATATTAATATTATTTCTTATATAAAAGATAGGATTCTGTGTGTGAAATTTTTCTACTTTACTAAGCGAATAAATTACAATGAAAATAAAGAAAGTGATAAAAAAAACTAAATATTTCATTCTAGTGTAAAGGATATAATTACTAAAAAATCAAAAAATTTCAGTACTCTATCTTTTATACAAGAAATAAGATTAATATAAAAAATAGAAACGATCAAATAATAACTACTCGGTACTTTTAATATCAATCTTTATCTCTATTCTTATTTCTCTTCGCAAAATTTCAATAAGTAAGAAATGTTGGTATTTTTCTAGTGTTAAGATAAGTAGAAAATTAAGATAGAAAATTAGTTAATAGAAGAGGAACATGAAGATAAGAAATGACAGACTAGGGTTTGCATGAAAATTGTACAATAATTGGATACTTGTAAATGTAAATTAGTGTAAAATGTAGAAAAAAAAGAAAAACTATAATATTTAAAATATTAAGATAAGAAATAAATGTAGATTTAAGTAATAGTATGTAGGATTTTAATTAGCTATTAATCATAAAATGGATGTGTGAAGTTAAAAGAAATTATAAACTAATTGTAAGTCCCTTCTTAGCGAATAAGCTGAAGAAATAAATTTCTATTCTATAACATTTTACAATTTATCATCGTAATTTCGCTTCAATTTCTGTTTTCAGAGATATGTCTTTTCAATTTTCATATTTTTCCATATTAATCATATAACTATTTACTTTTTGCATGTATAAGGTCGCAAACATCATTATAATTCAAGTGTAACGATATCTCCTTTATCCACTTGTCATTTCGTGAACCACCGCGCCCCATCGATGTTGCGATCTGTACATACACCGATCTTTGTAAGCCATGATCGTCGTTGAACTTCGCCGTTTTATCGGTTCCATCAGTTGGCAAGCAACTCCGACCGCGTAGCGCAATCGCTCTAGCACTGTGTTCATTACCGAAGATGACTGTATCATTTGTTTCTGCGCGAGGGTGGAATCAAAACGTCAGAGTGGCGCACGGCGACGTCTCTCAATCGACGATCGATCGCGCAAATTCGATTCTTTGCATGCGACGTAAAGTGCTCAAAGATTTGTCTAGTTTATTCGCGCGTATTACGGGGCCTTGGCACAGTCACGAAAAATACCTCTCGCGTACTTGGACGAGAACGTGTTAATTGCCACTAGGTCCATATCGAAGAGGTGTTAAATAATGACTTTTTAAGAACCGAAAACCGTAGGTCAACGTAACGTCCCAAGGACGGCTTTTGTTTCTTCCGAATTGTGCAAGCGACTGGAGTAATACCGATTTTGGTATCCGAATCTTCAATTTCGTCTCTGACATATGTTCTTTCTCCTTCCCATATAAGGTCTAGTCACGCACGAAAGTAGATAATAGTGAATAGCGAATGTCGTTTGGTTCCATTGATGCGTGTTTATAGACCAATAGATCGCTAATGAGTCCCGATACGGCGTTAGGAAAAAAAATCGATTGATCTTTAATACCGTGCGGCGTCTTATCTTTCGGCGAAAGCTCCGTCGTGACAATCGTCGAGGATATCGATCGTCGATCTTTGGCGAGCGATCGCGATCGCGGTCGGTGTTATTAAATGATTCGCGACGGGGGTCCTTGTCGGCGCGTCCTCTGATGATCATTTATATGGCCCACTGGGGCACCTCGTTAGTCCCAACCAGGAAACAGAATCGTCCACAAGTCATCTTGGAGCCCGCGTATACAGGATGTATAAAAAATTGCGTACGTGTGCATACGTTGCGCGTATGTTTTATGTTTTATTTATTTGAAGTATAAAAACTCGCCCAAACTTCCAAGTGAAACCGATCAAGTCGATCGACTTCAATGGAAACAAATCTAAACGTTTCATCTCCTCGATTTCTATCTTTTCACTTACACGACAGTAGGAAAAAAACATTTAACTCTCAATTACAGTGTTAGGTATCAAAAGAGCACTGCTAAGCCAATCTTTTTATGTTAAAAATAATTTTATTATTTTCAATTTTTTAATTTTTAACAAAATATTATATTCAATTTTTGAAATATATAGTTTCAAAATAAAAAAATATCCATATTAACGATATGCATTTAGTAAGTAATAAATTAAATGTGAGTCAAATTTAATACATTTTCTTAAATTGTTCACCTTCAGTGTCTTAATTAAATTAACATTTTGATCAGGAACAGTAGCGGCCTAGAAATAATTAAAAATAACTCAAAATGGATATCATTTAACATGATAAATTTAATATGAAAACTACACCTAAGTTTTAAGCGTTCTATTCAAAGTTCACAGAATGCAAGTTCTGTGATTCTTCGCCTTACAATTGATAGAGAAAGGATCAAAGTTATTTTTACTTACAATTTAAAACCTCATAGTACATACAAATTGCACATATAATTATCCAAAATTTTTCGCTTCAAATTTAAATAAATAGACCGTTCCTGCACTGAGAAAAATGTCAGGTTGGATTAATTGGAATTCTAACTGAAAATAGAAACAGAATTTTCTAGTTAAATCTAGAATTCTAGTTGAGTAACTGGAATTTTGATTAATATAATTATAGTTTTCTAGTTCGTTTTCAACCACTTTCTTCAGAATGTAATTGAGGGTTAAACATGTTTTGAAAAGAGAGAAAGACTTTTTAAAAACGAAATCGTCATGACGGGGAAACGAGTGTTAAAGGAATTTATCTGGCTGTAAAGACAGGACCGCCGACATCACGCAAAGTGTGTTCTTCGCTGTTACATATGCGACCCGAGTTCATGGGTCTCGAGAAGCAGGAACACTTGTACCACGTGCAGCCTAAGCGCCACGTGGTATGAGTGTGTTAATGTGTATACATAAGTATATATATATATATATATGTATAGCTGACTCAAAAAAAGGAGCATTCGCGAATTCGTTGGTAAAAATAGAACTGGTTACGTACAAACAAGTGGTCGCAAGAATTGGAACGAAGTGACTCTAAACTTTTGTGTTTGTCGCGTAATCTTCATTGGATGATATTATAATTCTACCCAGCGATTTTAATTGAAATTTAAGCGAAATACACGCTGTGTCTTACACAAGTAAACACGATTCCAAAACGGTTAAGCATTACCTATTTATTTTTCGATGACTAATTTTTTTTAGCTTCAATCACATTTAAAAATCATTAAGCCCAGATCTACAATAGATTTTTAAGTCTTAAGCCATAAGAATGGACGAATCACAATCAATTATTCTCCTCGTATTCGAATGTAATTGGTCAATTTCTTACGGCTTAAGGGGATGTTAAAGTTGTCCTACTTCACCTCATTTCCATTCGGTGAAAAATCTCCCAATTGGATTTACGGATTGCAAAATTATTAGTACAGAATTAAAGTACGCACAAACAGGACCTCAGCTGCACTGGATTTCATGAGAAAATCGAAAAAAAGTTTAAAATTCGTTAAAAATTCACTTACTTTTAGCTCGTACAGCTGTCACTTGAGGTATACATTTGCTTGATATAAGAGTTTTATAGTCCATATCTTGAAAATAAGTATGCAGCTGAGGTCACATTACTGGAACGAACGATACCGAGTTTGTAGAACTAAGATTGAAAGTCTAGAAAAAAAGCCTTTTCACAGAATGGAAAATACGTGTATACGGATGCTTTGCGAAGACTGGGACTGTTAACAGAGCCGAAATTCCGTATAGTAATAGTTGCGCGGTCTTGTGATAGATGGTGCTGGCATATGTTAGATAAGGACAGATGTATGCGTTTAAGTGAGATAGAACGATATATAATATAATGTAAGAAATGAATCAAAGATGTTACTATTATCGAATTTGGAATTAAAAAAATCTGTACTATCGACCTCGATCAAGTTCGGTAATCAGTTTAGGATCCCCAATATCTATTGTAGGTCCTGGTTAAATCGATGATAAAAACACAGGTGGTTTCGAATTGACGACAGCTGAAATGATCAGCAGCACATTTCCATCCTTTCGGTTCACGATCCGATTTTCTACGAATAAGACGAGCACGAACGAAGATCAGCAAGCGCGATTCTCTCGCATGGCTGGTCGCCGCCTGGCGAGCTCGCATCTGTGAGAGAATCGAGCTTATCAGATCGAGAGAACGGAGAGGCATCCGATTGAAGACACGTGGTGCCGATTAATTTTATCGAAACAGTGTCTTTCCGCCAGGCAAGAAGACCGCTGAAACTTTATTCGTCGGTTGCAGAACACTTGAGTGCGCACTTACGTTTAATCATCCTCAACTGTGCGACTTTTATACGATCAAAATTGAATCGAGAAGAAAAATTGGAGCAAAAGTTTACATTAAATTGAAGCAAAGATTTAGTTAAATCTTATCGGATTTGGAGCTAAATAATTTTATAATACAAAGACAACGAAAAAGAGGAGCATAAAGAACAAAAAAATTATCTATAATAAATACTCCACCGGCAATGAGTTAGTTTATTTAAAGGAACAGTTTTATAATTATAAATTCTGGAAAATTTAAATTTATAAATAATAAATAAAATACAATTCGATTCCTATTATGATAAAAATATTAAAGCTTTCACAAATATGAGAATTTTTATCAAATTTTTATACAGTTCGAAACAACGTATAAAAATCTGTAATGAAATTTTAAAACTCATATAGAAAAACAATTTTGCTGAAACATCTAAACAAGCTAAATACCGATTTGAAAATAATTTTGTTGAATCATCAAAACAATTACGTAGAATTCTCAAATATGATGAGTAATGTTGTAAAAAATTTTGACATTCTAGCAATCAGTTTGTCCTTTCTAAAAATTTTGATAGTCTAACAAAATTATTTTCAGATCTGTATCTAGCTAAATTTTTAGATTTTTCAGCAAAATCGTTCTCTCTGTGTAAAAAAAAACATCAACAAGATTTTAAGTAATTGTTAAGTATATAGATTGTAACGTAGATTGTAAAGTATCTAAGATTTTACGCTAATCTAAAATAATTATAAATGCCGTGCCTCTTCTAGGATTTGTCACGTTATACTGATTTACGCTACCGTTCCGCCTGACAGTTCAAAATATTGACGCGAGCACAAAGAAAGTGCCACACTCACCGCCATAACTTTCCTAGTGTTTTCGACAGCTCGGCGTTGTGAAGCTGGGGATACTGATCGGCCAGTTTTCGCCTTGCAGCCTGGGCCCATACCATAAACGCGTTCATGGGCCTCTTGACGTGGGCCGCCCTTTTGTCGCCGGAGCCCCTGCAATTCGAAGACATTATCTTCATTGGAAACGATACACCTCTACAAATTTACGTGAACGTACGTAAAATTCTAAATATATTAATGGAGATTTTTCTTCAATATTACGCTTGCAAGAAACATTTCCTATATAGTTAATTTGATTGGATGCATTCGTACACAAATATTGGTGTAAAAATATGTGTTTAATGTATACAAAATAATGTATACAAAACAGATTTATAAAAAAACCAAAAATCCTTAATACACTTTATTGTACTGTTAAGTAACATCTGTATTTTATAATTTAAATTATTTGCATTTTACTTTTACACATTAAATCAGTGTACAACAGCTTTAATATGCAATAATGCATATTAGTGCGTCCAAATTCGCTATTAGCCATAATCACTGTTGATTGTGCCGTATGTTCTGAATGATTAATAATTCAATCTGTTATATAGATCGTAAGATTCTTATGCAACTAATTTTACCATAACTACGCTCTTATTATTTTTGCAATTAACACACTTGGTGTTTTACTGCTCTTCCGGTATTTTAATTTCTCTCGCGATATAACTTCGATAAAAATATTTTTATGAATCATATCAATATACAATAACTCATGAAATTGATGAATTCATATCACTGTTTTCTTTTAAAAATTCATGAATGAAAATGTGTTTCGATATGCAACTGTAAGTACTGAAAGATTGCGTAGTTCATGTTATGTACACTATAGAATTTCAGTATTGACAGTGTATTAAATATATATATAAGCGACGAACCAGCCGATATCTACCGCAAAATAATAAATATTTATTTGTTTACATGTTACATTAATATTATAAGGCTGTTTTCGTCGCTTGCCTTCTGAATCAATTAATAAATAATAATTAATAATAAATTAATTAATTAATAGATAATATATTTGAAGTATCTTAGAAATCAATTTATATAAAAGGCTTTATGATGTTGAGTTTTGAGGTCTGTCTTTTATTAGGACCTTCGGTTGCTTAGGACCTTTTCTGGAGGAAGACTTGTGATTCTCAACTTAGCTGAATGGATTTCAAACCCTGTGAATCTCACCTCTTCTAAATTACTTAACGTGTAGTACTGGGTCTCTGCTGAGGCAGAGATTCTGGAAATTCTCGGGCAAAAGAAGAAGCATAAATAATTGTGTACATTCAATTAATTTCGTGAGTCACGGAATATCATACAGGGAAAGAAGAGACTCAGTGAGTTCCTTCAAACTTTCACAGAATCGCTAGGATCTCTGCTGTCGTATAACTTTAAGAAACGCGTCTTAATAAGCAAAAAAACATTTTGAAACATTGCAGCAACGTTTTAAATTTTTTAAAAGCTTCTTGCTTATGGGGTACAACGTCGATGGATTTTTCAAATTGTTTGATAGAAATAAAAGCTAAATGCAACGGCTTGAAGGATTTTCTCTCTTCCTCCTTCTCTCTATCCACCTATCCGGTCGACCATTCTGGCGGATAATCTGGTGACTTGCAGAAGAAAATAACCAGAGGCGACGGGGCATGGTATATACATACACACGCACACACAAACACGTATCCGTATCGGGCTCTGCTTGGCGCGGGCTACCCCCGGGTCATCCTGGCGAGCGGCGCGGAGCGTTTAAAACCGGCCTTAAAATAACACCGTGGCTGCCGACGTGTGACGGGTAGGAATGGACGTATCCCTTTCTTTCCGAGAAGATGACTTCATAAAACTTTTGCCCCATCCAGAGCCGGGGATCGACGTGACTGACGTGATTGCCGCGTCAGGAGAGATATCCTGGGCCTCCGTTTCCCCCTTCTCCCTCTCCCTGTTTTTCTTTTTACCCTTAATCGAGGATTCTTTAAGGACTCGCGCGCGGCCGCCCTGAGCGGACGGCGTGAAGAACGGTCGGCATACGGTATACGGCATTATTTTCTGTTGGGAATCGTTAGGTGGATAAAGAGACAGACAGTGCTTATTATGCATTCTAAAATGCTGCCGAGGCAATCGAATTAAGGTACGAACGCACAGATCGAATCTAACGGTACTGACGATATATAAACAATATCAGATTGGTATATACAGAAAAATACATACTATACGTAAATAATAATTGTTTCAAGTAGTTCATATGTCCGCTTTATCAAGTTCGTCGCAAGCATTAAATTTATTCAAAATATATTCTGAATCCTGTACTTCGTAATCAAGATTATTAAATTAAAACGAATTCGGTTTACTTATTATAAAGTCGTTTCTTTGATCAATTTTATAATATTCTTCAAAAGAAAATTAATTCTTGTTTTGAGTACATATGATAATAAGTTTTTTAAATTTCTAATAAATTTTAAGATTATTATCAAGAAAACATTTTTTGTTAAAGATAATCTTTGCTTAAAAGGAATAAAGTACATTGAATAATCACTTTTTTTAGTAATACAATGATATTTTTCTGTGTGTGCGCATATTGCTTGAAATCCTCAAAAATTTTTGTACTTAAAACAAGATAAATATATATTTGGGCATTGAACAAAAAAAAGTGAAGATTCTAAATGTAAAAAGTTATACAAGCGAACAAACCATTAGTATACATGGATGTGTTCTGCGCATTTCTGTTCTTTGAAATACCAGGAGCACTTAATTAAGTAATGATCTTACTTTTCTTTTTTTTAATACACAACTTTACAAATACTTTCTAAAAATATTAAAGTATATGTAAGAATCACTTAATAATTTTTGTATAACTCATAAAAATGACGAAAACTAACTCAGACACGAACGACTCATTGTGTGGAGAAAAGGACCAATCAGAAAATCATCGTATGATTAAGAATTAAAATAGTTAATTAACTAAAAAAATTTACTAAATCTCAATATATATTTCTTTGAATAGTAAACATTTACTTACTCAATAAAAAATGATAGTTAAATTAAATTAATAGTTTTTGTATCAAATAAATATATATTTACATTTAATAAATATTTACTTAGAACTATTCAAATACATATTTATTAAAATTTAGTTTTTGGGTGTAATAAATAAGAGTTCCAAAATTGATGATCAAGATTAATATATAAAAGCAAGGTTAATATAAAAGAAATCAAATATAATATATGAAAAAGTTACGTTACATTCCATGTTTTGATTCACTTTTGAGCCATCTTCAAATCGCAAATATATTATATTAAAAACAGAATACAGAGTTGAAAGAATAGTACATCTGTGATAGGCTATAATGAGCCATTTTGCGAGGATTAGAGATCATAAATGATTGAAGATCACGAGGAGAAAATTTTCATGTGTATTTATTGCCTCAAAATATATTTATCACGATCGATTTCTGATAAAAACGGGATGAAAGAATCGGTCTGGATGATTCCAAGAGAAACGGAGCTCGAAGGGACAATCTGTTAGCAACAGCTCATAGGATGTAATCGGACCTATGAGCGTTCGATTCGCGCGGGGATTACACGGGGATAAGCGTGGCGAACGTGCGTAACGCGGGTGAAAAGGACTCCGGCGCGCGTCTCAAGGATTCGAAAGCGGTCCCGCGGTACATTTCGGCCTCTTTGAAATGAGAGGGGCGTTAAATCCGTGTGTAAACCCGCGGAGCCGTTGGTAATTAGCGTGGGCTCACTAACGAGGGTTTTCACGGCGCTCCTCGACGCGAGCGCGCGGCACACACGACGCGCGCGCTTTACCTGGATAAACGCAAAAAAAGAAAGAAGGAACATACATACGATGCGTGCGACTCTGCGTTCGCGACGAAGGCGTGGTACCGTGCAAAATGGCACAAATGCACTGCCTTGCAACGGTAAAGCCCAAGACACAATGCGAGGGAGTAGCGATAGCGATAGGAATAACACAGTTTCAACCTATCAGAAAACTGTGTATTCCGATGTATCCGATTTCTGATAGATTGAAATCGTGTTATTCCTATCGCTATCGCTATTCCCTCGCATTGTGTCTTGAGCTTAAGAAACGTGCGCAATCCTGCAAACACACAATAGAGTAGTAAGCCTTAAGTCTTAAGAAATTGACCAATCATAGTCGATTATTCTTCTTACATTCGACTGTGATTGATCAATTTCTTAAGGCTTAAGGCTTACTACACCTACTGTGTTTGCCGACTAAGAACGATATCATGCTAAGCCCGGAATCAGACGTATTGAAGATTGAGATTGAAGATTGAAGATTGAAATTTAACCAATAAGGACAAGGAAATTTTAACTCCTATTGTTTAGATTGATCAAATTTCAATATCTCAATCTTCAATACTCGGTTTGATTCCAATCTAATAATATCACGGGAAAAAATTGTTCCTACCGTAGTTAATTTTAGATAAAATATATTTGTTGCCGTAACTATAAATTTATAAACGGCAAAATATATATATGGTTTGCTGTTGCTGCTATAACAAAGTATCACAGCTAAAATATTAGTTACAATACCTACTTATATTTCAGCTATCCATATTTTATACCTACTATTTAGTTAACAAACGCAGTTTTTAGTTTTTAATTACGGTAGCGACTTTCTTTTTTATGTAAAAAAAAATGAAAGAGACAATAACGCGATAATTCAATAATTCAATCCTGCATTCAATTCTGCATCTTGAATATGGTTTCCATTGAACACGATTTTACGTTTAAGCCTCCACCAGCCAAGTTGTCCTTTGAAGGCATAGTCGATATTTTGATTATGGATTCTGATAGATAAATTTAAATCTGTAAAATGTAAGTAAAATGTAATCCAACTTCTGTGATTACAGTAAATAGTAGAAGTTCATTATTAAAGCTTTCACAAATATACAAAAATTTGTTTCAGATTTTTATGCAATCTGCAATGGAACAATATAATATAAAAATTTGCACTGAAACTCAAAGATCCAGGTTGCTAATGAAAGATACAAAATGTCACGTGGCTAATGGAGGATTAATAATCACGAATCAAAATACAATATAGTGATCATAGCTTCTGTGAGATGCGCGATATACTTTCATCGAAATCCATGGGAATTAAAAAAAACCGGTCGATTTTATCAGGGCTCTATCGCTGGGAATAAACACTGCACCCTTGCATCCATTCCCCCTGAGATAACCCCATAATTGAGGGTTAGCGATAAGCGCGCGTAACGATACACTCTGTGATTTCTGTCGTGGCCCATTCCGCTCTATGATCTAACCGCATACCTAGCGCGTAATCACTTTTCTTCGTCATTCCGTTGAATTTTTCTAAAGTCTTATCTTTGACGTTCGCGACAGTCGCGATCTTCTGGGCATTTTTTTTGTATGCGATTAACGACGTTGAGATTATAGGATGAAATCATAAACCAGTCTTTTCATACATGATCATTTCCTCCCGGGAAAATCGGCATTCTATATTTCATTCATGATAGATTTCTAGTTGAGACAATTTTAAAGTTCCTGTAATATGTTTCAAAGAGAACACTTTGCCTCGTAATATCATTTGCCATGTTGACGTCTTTTTGTAATTTCAAAATCGATTCCCGAATTAAGATATATTCAAACTTTTTATTAAGATTTTCTAGAGACATCTATAAATAATTTTCTAGATATAGAAAATTTCATATCTTATAAAAAATTCTGCCATTCTTGAAAAAAAAAGTAAGATTTCACTTCAAAGAATTTAATATTTTATTATTAGTTTTACGTAATATAATCACGTAATTCCGTTTTCATATTTAATATTTAAAGAACCGAGTAGTCATTATTAACCATTTCTATTTTTTAGATTAATATTACATTTCTTGCGTAAAAAAGTAGGATCCTGAAATTTTTTTATTTTTCAATAATGTTCTTTATACTGATTTTTATTTTAAATACTGAAATTTATATTCTTTATATTGATAAAATATTTAATTTTTCATCATTTTCTATAGTAATTTATTCAATTAATCATTTTAATGAATAAGAAACGTTGCTATTTTTAGTATTAACGTAACATAAGTGCGTCTATAAATGCTTTGATAAGATACAATACTTTCCAGTTCTTAGAAAATTTTTTAATCTTCCTGATAGATTCTTTCATTCTATTTTTTTTTACCAGAGTAATTATAATCGTCGCAACAACTAGAAATATCATATCGCGGTATCGGCAGCCATTACGGCAGCTGGAAGATCGGAAAGCGCGTTGCACAATTTTGCGCATATCGAGGTCGCGCTCGCGATTTTATCGAGTTCGCCGGCGATCTAATGATTTTTCATCGGCTAATGCCGAATGACGCGTCGAGGACACCGCTCGATGACTTTGCTTCTAAAGTGCAGGAAGACATAGCGCTTCATTTTTTCTCTTTCTTTTCTTCTTTTTCTCCCCCCCTCTCTCTCTCTCTCTCTCTCTCTCTCTCTCTCTCTCGAGTCGTTATCAGGTCGCTATTTTAAGATCGCCTGCCTTCCCACGATGGAGGAGAGCCGACGAGCGGGACGCGCAGGACGCGGCGATCGGGCATTAATTAGCCAATTTGCGTTAATTGGCGTCCGAGGACATTTTTCCGCGGAGACGCGCGTTTCCCAGGCCGGGGAAACGAGTGCGTCATAATTGAGTTAGCGTTACGTATTTTTAAGGCCGCGCCACACTTCCTCGCCCGCTTCTTCTCTCCCCGACGGCTTCGTCGCGCCGTTCCTTTTCTCCTTCTTTCTCTCCTCTGGTTTTTTCCCCCCTCGCGCGAGTTAAGTCCACGAGGCACGGCCACATGCGTATGTTAACGCGTCGCTAATGCGACTCGCGGTGATTAAAACGCTTTGCGAAAACACTGAGAATCGAGGAAGCTTAGCCAGAAAAGGAAAAAAAAAGAAATATTTTTCTTGGAAACGTCTTCGACGATTTATTAATTATTCCGATCTAAACGGAAAAAATATAAAACGTCAAGAGTGGAAGCATTAAAATGAAATATCAACGTGAGAAATACATCTAGAATATTTTATTTGTCATATATATAATGAAGTAACTTTGCACAAATTCTGATCATATTAATTTTTCTCAGCTCCTTTCGGATCGCTGAATTTTTTTGTTGACGGCAAAAATCTCTTTCCATCATTCTCTTTTTGGATATTTACTTCTCTTGTATATTTTGTTATTATATATTAATTTTCTGTTCAATCGTATATTGATGTAAGTTTTACATTTTACATCGTAGATTTATGATTATAAAATGAAAAGATTCACATATTCATTTTGGTATTTTATTTATAAGCAACATGTTAACTTTGTATATACAACTATACTCTTGTTTTTCTTTCTATCATCAGGTCTCCACATAGCGTGTTTAGTTTCATTTTTAGTTCTCTTTATAGCTAGCCACCTTTGGTGAATCTCAAGTTTACTAATTATAGATCTATCAGTTATTAAACTATATGCGAAAATTATAAACAGAAGTCATTTTTATCTCCCTTACCAAAACGAATAAAAATAATGTTCTTTATATATACTCTATAAAAAGAAAACATTTAAAGTATTATTGAAAAAACTTATATCCAGAGAGAATTCTTTCAAAAAGAATTCAGTTGTTATGTCATCAACTTAAAATTCATTTTCAAACACAAAAAGAATTCTTTATCTGAAGAGTTCTGAGAAGAATTTTTTTTTGCTGAAAATGAACTCAGAATTGATGACATATGACTGAACTCTTTTTATGCTATTTGGAATAGATCTTATAAGATTTTTTTATATCGATTAATAGTAAATAGAAGCATGAACAATTTTCCGAATTCTTTCCACCGCGCTCGAACGAAACCATATTTGATCAACACACAGAGCATTCCATTCCAACAGCAACGTTCTATCAATATTGCAGTATATAACACGCAATGTTGCTGTAAATTTCTGTATATTGTATGCCGTATGGATAGACATAATAAGACCTCGCATTTCTATAAAATTGACATCAGTTTAGAAAGAGTGAAATAACTTGAATTCTCTCTCTTTCTCTTAAGTATCGAATTAAAGAGAGATGCTAATATATGGTTTACAATTTTCTTTCTAACGAGATTGGGCAGTATTTACAGTTCTTCTTTTAAGACCGTCTTAAGTAATGTTTGAATATGCGCTATGATTCACATGACATCTTATGAACTTTCTATAATAAGTTATTAATAATAAATTTAAGCTTTTAGCCGTAAAAAATTGACCAATCACGGTCAAAGTGAGAAGAATAATCGACTATGATTGATTCCTTAAAATTGAAAATTTAATGTGATTCTACAATAAATCAATAGTCCTAAATCTTATCGGTAAAGTTGAATCACCGATTAAGGCCCGATTGCACCAATGTTTTTTTAATTTTAAGCGTAGCTTGAAACTCTCGCTTAAAACTCTCCCTTTCTGTCTCTCTATCGACTTTAAAAAAAAAGAGATTTTTAAGCTTCGCTTAAAGTCAAAATAACGTTGGGGCAACCGGGCCTAAAACTAAACGGTGGTATTCACAGTCTGTTCTTATTTTAAGACCGTCTTAAGATGCTAATACGGCTCTCTGATTGATTCATATCTTAAGACTGTACTTAAGACGGTCTTAAATATAAGATCCAACTATGAATATCGGCCTAAGACTTTCGACTGCAGACTCATTGTAGAATAGCATAAGCATAAAGCTAGGTAACAGCTTATTGTAGAAAGCTCATTAAGACCATACTTAAGACAGTCTTAAATATAAGAAACGATTACGAATATATCGGCCTATATCTACTTATTATGTTTACGAACAAAATGACGATTCGAAGGCGAGAAAAAAGTACGAGTTTGCCACGTAATACACTTACTTGGTGGCAACAGGTACCAAAGTCCAGTCGTATCCTTGGAGAACCTTGG